GCTGTGGCCCAGTCTGTGTATATGTGTTTTGTGTGTATGTATATATTTGTGTATATGTGTATATACACATATGGAAATAAGCACCAACCCCCAGAGTTGGACACGACTGGACTTAATGTGGGAAAAACCTTTACCTTTACCTATGCGTATATATGTGTGTTTGCATATGTATGTGTATATATATATATATGTGAGTTTGCGCATGCATTGTAACGTAATTTTTGTTTTTTGGCTTTTAAAGTTTGTTTTCCAGTGTTTTGATGAGTGATGATCACTCGTTGGCCTGATAGGTGTATTGTGTCCAAATTTGGTGTTAATTCGTCCAGTGGTTTTTGAATTATGCTAATCCCACAAACGAACATTACATTTTTATTTATATAGATTCCTCAGATCTTGACCCCCCTCATTCACCCACCCATCCTTCTCTGATATCAACATCTCCTTGAAAGAGAGGGAGGGGGGGGAGGAAAGAGAAGAAGGAAGGACAAAAAGGTGGAAGGAGGAAGGAAGAAGGGAAGGAAGAGGAGAGGAGGAAGAGAGAAGGAAGGAAGGGCGAAAGGGGAAGGGAAGGAGGAAGGAGAAAGAGGGAGAAAGGGAGAAGGAGGAAGGGAAGGAATAAGGAAAGGAAGGAAGGAAGAAGGAAGGAAGAAGGAAGGAAGGAAGAAGGGAAGGAAGGGAGGAAGGAAGAGAAGGAAGGGAGGAAGGAAAAGAGGAGAGAGCGAAAAAAGGAAGGAAGGGAAAGAGGAAAGGAAGAGAGAAGGAAGGATGAAAGGGTGGAAGAAGGAGGAAGGAAAGAAGGGAAGGAAGGGAGGGAGGAAGGGAAGAGAGAAGGAAGAAAGGATGAAAGGGTGGAAAGGAATGAGGAGGGAGAAAGAGAGGGAAGGAAGGGAAGGAGAAAAGGAAGAAGACAAAAGGAAGAGGAAGGAAGGAAAGAGGAGAAGAGGGAAGGAAAGGAAGGAAGGAAAGAGGAGGAAGGGAGAGGAAGGAAGGGGAAGGAAGGAGAAAAGGAAGAGAGGAAGGAAGATGAAAGGGTGGAAGGGAAGGGAAGGGAAGGAGGAGGAAGAAGAGGGAAGGGAGGATGAAAGGGTGGAAGGAATGGAGGGAGGAGAAAGGGGGAGGGAGGAAGAAGGGAAGGAGGAAGAGAAGGAAGGAAGACAAAAGGGAAAGAAGGAAAGAAGGAGAAGGAGGAGGAAAAAGAAAGAGGAAGAGAGGAAGAAGGATGCAAGGGTGGAAGGGAAGGAGAAAGAGGGAGGGAAGAAGGAAGGAAAAAAGAAGGAAGGATAGGATGGTGAGAGAGAGGAGGGCCTGAGAAAAGAGCCCAAGGGGCTGCATACGGGCTATGAGCCTGGGTTTGCTCATACTTGGTGTGTGTGTGTGTGTGTAATGATATCTTGCTTCCTTTTTCCCCTGACAGTTTGCTGGCTCAAGCGAAGGGGCCCCCAAGCGAGGCATGGGGGTGGACATCTCCCTCCTGAGTTGCCAGTACTTCTTGGCCCAGATCCTGGTCTCTGTAGTGATGGGGCCCTTGACGGCGGCGGTGGGCAGCGCTAACGGGGTCATGTACTTCGCCAGCGTGGTCTCCTTCGCAGGCTGCCTCTATTCTTCCCTCTGCGTCGTTTATGAGATTGCGCCTGGCAATGAAGACTTGGCCGAGGAGGAGCGCCAGCCCCTGATGCGCAGCGCATGAAACTAGAGCAGGCTGCGAATCCCACCGTGCCACAGCCCCTGGGCCAGAGACACTGGAGGAAGGCGATTAGTCATAGAGGGGGCACCTAATAATACGGCGAAAATAATAAAAAGATGGAAACACTATCCCCGGCTGCCTTGGAGTGTCTCTCTCTCTCTTGTCACAGCAGATCTCACTTACAGCTACTTTTGTAATTTTGCAACTTTTCTCTTCATATTGGAATCTTTAACCTCTAGTTAAGGGAGCACATTATATTATCATTATTATTTGTAGTAATAATAACGTATGTATGTATTTAAATGCACATTTATGTGTAATTAATGTATAATGTCACAAAGGATTACCAACTCACCTGCTTCATAGGAAATCTCCTACAAAACAGGAGCCTTTTTGTTGAGTTCCTGGGCCAGAGAAGCACACGACGAAAACAGAAGAATGGCCTGCCTCAGGAGAGCATGCTTGCTCCATTTACACAAATGATCAGCCACTGACAAAAAGGACAGAGAGTTTCATCTATGCTGACGATTGTGCCATCATTGCTCAAGCTGGGAGCTTTGAAATGGATGAACAGAAGCTATCTGAAGCTTTAGGTGCTCTTACTGCCTATTACAGGGAAAACCAGCTGATTTCTAATCCATCTAAAATGCAGGTGTGTTGTTTTTCACCTTAAAAACAGACAAGCATCTCGAGCTCTGAGGACGGCCTGGGAAGGAATCCCACTGGAACATTGCAGCTCACCAACACATCTGGGAGTCACTCTGGACTGTGCCCTGACCTACAAGAAGCACTGCTTGATTATCAACCAAAAAGTGGGTGCTAGAAACAATATCATACGAAAGTTGACTGGCACAGCCTGGGGATCACAACCAGACACAGTGAAGACATCTGTCCTTGTGCTTTGCTACTCTGCTGCCGAATACGCATGCCCAGTGTGGAACACATCTCAACACATTAAAACTGTGGATGTGGCTCTTAATGAGACATGCCACGTTATCACTGGAGTCTACGCCCTACACTGCTGGAGAAATTATACTGTTTAGCTGGTTTTGTACCACCTGACATCTGCTGGGAAGTAGCAGCCAACAATGAAAGGACCAAGGCAGAGACATCTCCGGCCCATCCTCTGTTCGGATAGCAGCCAGCACGCCAATGCCTTAAATGAAGAAACAGCCTCTTAGCATATATTGAGATGTTCGCAGGAACACTTGAGCAAGCAAGAGCCCAAAAGTGGCAGGCTAAAACTCGGAACCTCAATCAGAGGCTGAGATCGGATGAGAGACTCCTTCCTGGGCACATAGAAGACTGGGTGACTTCGAAGGCACTGAACAGGCTGTACTCTGGCACCACTTTGAGAAATGAGGCCACAAAGTGGAGTCCACAACATGCAAATGTGGAGAAGAGCAAACCACAGACCACTGACTACAATGTGGTCTGAGCCCTGCCACATGCACAATGGGGGACCTTCTTACGGCAACTCCAGAGGCACTCCAAGTGGCCAGTGTGTACACAATGCAACATAATTTTTTCCTGGGTTATCAATGTCATTTCCTAATTGGTTCTATCGTAGAAACATGGAAAAAGTTTATTAAACTGCACAAACTTTGTTCTTGTGCAGCCCATTTTGCTCTATTTTTTCAATGAATATCTCAAGCCTCAACTAATCCAACCTAGTTTGTGGCAGTCACCAAAACAAATCTTCTGGAGTCGAACAATTAAACAGGAAATATCAGTTTCAAACCAGGAAATATCACTTTCAACTTTTGTTACATAGTGCTAATGCATTCTTCTTCTTCTTAGGCGTTGTCTGAGTAGGATAGTCTTCCAAGATCAGTATTCTGGTGTTTCCGTAGGTGCCTGTGGAGCCCTATTCTTGACCTGCATCTTCTCCCGTAGTGAGGACATTGGTTTCCAGGTGGAAGGCGGTCCCAGTCGGGGTTGGCTTGACGCGCCTTCCTCTTGGCACGTTTCTCTCTTTCGCCCTCCATTCGTGCCTCTTCGGATTCTACAGCACTGCTGGTCACAGCTGACCCCCTGCTGGAGTGCTCAAGGGCCAGGGCTTCCCAGTTCTCAGTGTCTATGACAGAGTTTTTAAGGTTGGCTTTGAGCCCATCTTTCAATCTCTTTTCCTGTCCACAAACATTCTGTTTTCCGTTCTTGAGTAGAGCAACTGCTTTGGGGGAGGGTGGTTGGGCATCCAGACAAACGTGGCCGGTCCAGCGGAGTTGATGGCGGAGGACTATCACTTCAGTGCTGGCGCTATTTGCTTCTTCCAGCATGCTGATATGTGTCCGCTTGTCTTCCCAAGAGATTTGCAGGATTTTTCAGCGGCAATACTGATGGAATCGTTCCAGGAGTTGCATGTGATGTCTGTAGACAGTCCACGTCTTGCAGGTGTATAGCAGGGTTGGGAGGACAATAGCTTTATAAACAAGCACCTTGGTTACCCCACGGATGTCCCGGTCCTCAAACACTCTCTGCTTCATTCGGAAAAAAGCTGCACTCGCAGAGATCAGGCAGTGTTGTATTTCAGTCTCAGTGTTGACATCTGTAGACAGTCCACGTCTCGCAGGCGTATAGCAGGGTTGGGAGGACGATAGCTTTATAAACAAACACCTTGGTATCCTTATGGATGTCCCGGTCCTCAAACACTCTCTGCTTCATTCGGAAAAAAGCTGCACTCGCAGAGCTCAGGCGGTGTTGTATTTCAGAGTCAATGTTGACTTTTGCATTATTATTATAATAGTATAATAATAACTGTACTATTATAATGCATTATTTACATATTAATATTAATGCATTATTATAATTATCAATGTATATTATTATTATGGCTTATGCATTTTTAAAAAATGTTATTTAGGTGTTTTTATTACTGTTATTATTACTTCGAAGGAAGGGAAATGCACAAGAAAAAAACTGTGTTAAGGTGTGTATACAGAATAATAAAATTAGATGTATATATTTTGGGGAGGGAAAAAATGCAAACATTATCATCTGCTAAAAGGCTATCCATTTTTAAAAAAAAAGTAATCCTATAAATTATGCCTAATTATGTAATGCACAAAATAATGCAGAATTACATAGACAATAAACACATACTGGCACTGTCCAAGTAGCAACAGGAACCATTCTGCGCCTGCGCAGTTTTGGAAAGAAGCAACCTCGCCCCTTGGCCTTTCTCCCAGCCTCAACGCGCAACCAATCAGAAAGCAGCTGTCTGCAAGGAAACTCACTATGACGTCATGCCATCCCTTCTCTGTGATTGGATGTGGGTCCCGGGAATCCCGCACCAATGGGGAGAAAGGGAGGGGGCGTGGCCAGGGAGCTGCTCTTCCTTTCAAAGAAGGTGCAAAGGTAAGGCTGCATAGATGGGTCCTGCAGTGCATTTAAACTGAAATAGATCTATTTTTAAAAAAGCAAAGAATTGCAATGTTTGGTAAGCAAATATTTATTTTTTTTCGGTTTTATATTTTTATTGAAATTTTGTTGGGAGAAAATAATATTAGGAAGGAGAGAAGAAATAGGAAAAAAAGGAAAATAAAGAAAAATTAGTTTACATGGAAAGTGGTATAATAATAATAATAATATAGAACCATAGAATCCTAGAGTTCAAACGGATCCCAAGAGGCCATACAGTCCAACCCCCTTCATCCAGGAAGGAAGGCACAATCCAAGCCCTCCCGACAGATGGCCATCCAGCCTCTGCTTAAAATAATAATAATAATAATGATAATAATACAGAACCATAGAATCCTAGAGTCAGAATGTGGATGTCCATCTGTTGGGAGGGCTTGGATTGTGTCGTCCTTCCAGGAAAAATTGGGTTGAACTGGATGGCCACTTTAGGCCCTTTCTGACTCTAGGACTCCATGGTTCTGTATTATTATTATTATTATTATTATTATTATTTTAAGCAGAGGCTGGATGTCCATCTGTCGGGAGGGCTTGGATTGTGCCTTCCTTCATGAAACAAGGGGGTTGGACTGGATGGCCTCTTGGGACCCCTTTGAACTCTAGGATTCTATGGTTCTATATTATTATTATTATTATTATTAGAGTCTGGATGTCCATCTATTGGGAGGGCTTGGATTGTGTCTTCCTTCCAGGAAAAAAGTGGGTTGAACTGGATGGCCACTTTCGGTCCCTTCTGACTCTACGATTCTATGGTTCTGTATTATTATTATTATTATTTTTATTAATATTATTATTTTAAGCAGAGGCTGGGTGGCCATCTGTCGGGAGGGCTTGGATTGTGCCTTCCTTCATGGAACAAGGGGGTTGGACTGGATGGCCTCTTGGGACCCTTTTGAACTCTAGGATTCTGTGGTTCTATATTATTATTATTATTATTATTATTACTATTATTAGAATCTAGATGTCCATCTATTGGGAGGGCTTGAATTGTGTCTTCTTTCCAGGAAAAAGGGGGTTGAACGGGATGGCCGCTTTAGGTCCCTTTTGACTCTAGGATTCTATGGTTCTGTATTATTATTATTATTATTATTATTATTTTAAGCAGAGGCTGGATGTCCATCTGTCGGGAGGGCTTGGATTGTGCCTTCCTTCATGAAACAAGGGGGTTGGACTGGATGGCCTCTTGGGACCCCTTTGAACTCTAGGATTCTATGGTTCTATATTATTATTATTATTATTATTAGAGTCTGGATGTCCATCTATTGGGAGGGCTTGGATTGTGTCTTCCTTCCAGGAAAAAAGTGGGTTGAACTGGATGGCCACTTTCGGTCCCTTCTGACTCTACGATTCTATGGTTCTGTATTATTATTATTATTATTTTTATTAATATTATTATTTTAAGCAGAGGCTGGGTGGCCATCTGTCGGGAGGGCTTGGATTGTGCCTTCCTTCATGGAACAAGGGGGTTGGACTGGATGGCCTCTTGGGACCCTTTTGAACTCTAGGATTCTGTGGTTCTATATTATTATTATTATTATTAGAGTCTGGATGTACATCTGTTGGGAGGGCTTGGATTGTGTCTTCCTTCCAGGAAAAAAGTGGGTTGAACTGGATGGCCGCTTTAGGTCCCTTCTGACTCTAGGATTTTATGGTTCTGTATTATTATTATTATTATTATTATTTTAAGCAGAGGCTGGGTGGCCATCTGTCGGGAGGGCTTGGATTGTGCCTTCCTTCCTGGATGAAGGGGTTGGACTGTATAGCCTCTTGGGATCCATTTGAACTCTAGGATTCTATGGTTCTATATTATTATTATTATTATTATTATTATTATTATTAGAGTCTGGATGTACATCTGTTGGGAGGGCTTGGATTGTGTCTTCCTTCCAGGAAAAAGTGGATTGGACTAGATGGCCCCTTGAGGTCCCTTCTGACTCTAGGACTCCATGGTTCTGTATTATTATTAATTTAAGCCGAGGCTGGATGTCCATCTGTCGGGAGGGCTTGGATTGTGCCTTCCTTCATGGAACAAGGGGGTTGGACTGGATGGCCTCTTGGGACCCCTTTGAGCTCTAGGATTCTATGGTTCTATATTATTATTATTATTATTAGGAGCCCCTGGTGGCACAGTGGGGTAAACCTCTGTGCAAGCCGGACTGAAAGTTCGAATCTGGGGAGAGCATGGATGAGCTCCCTCTGTCAGCTCCAGCTCCTCATGCAGGGACATGAGAGAAGCCTCCCACAAGGACGATAAAACAGCAAAACATCAGGTCGTCCCCTGGGCAATGTCCTTGCAGACGGCCAATTCTCTCACACCAGAAGCGACTTGCAGTTTGTCAAGTCACTTCTGACACGACAAAAAAAACCTCCAGAATATAAAAATATTCATACATATTTAGCAGCTTTCTGGGAATAGGGTTGAGCCTCCTTCTATGGGGGTGCGTATACTGGAGGGCCATCTGTCGGGAGGGCTTGGATTGTGCCTCCCTGCCTGGCAGAATAATGGGGTTGGGCTGGATGACCTCTTGGGGTCCCTTTGTGAAATGTATGCCTTTAACAGACAAAGGCAGGTGGCTATGATGGCAGCGTCTCCCCAAATCAGCCTTCTGATCATCGGTGGCGGAAATCGAGGGAAGCGCTACGCGGCTTATGCTCTGTGCCATCCCACTCGCATGAAGGTAAG